GATGGTCTTCACATTTTTATGCAAGGAAGCCCTCTTTCCCAAAAGCAGCTCTGTATGGAGGTCCAACATGGGAATGAATAGCAGTACAGTTACCTAGGAGAAGCAATGGGGCTTTACCTTCCCTTGAAACCCTGGCAGGGAGGAGGAGGGGGATCCCTGGGTTCCACAGGACATATTTTGAAAGCCATTAATGCAGAGCCCCTTGGGGCCCATATTCTGTGACTCCAGGGCCTGCAATGCCGGCCTCTGTCAGGAGTAACCAGTGGCTTCAGTCAAGCTTTGCCACAGAAGTTCAGAATCCTAATTTCCAGACATGCCCTACCCCTGATCCTGCTGAAGGAGAAGGCCACCTCCCACCAGAGTCTAATGTTTAGACTCTCGGCACATCATCCCAGTACTCCTGGCAACGTAACAAGACTTTCCCTGCAGGGTTTCCTAAAAGAGAGATGTTGGTCCAGTGCTAGCTGGCTGGGAACTTGGTTGTTGTTCAATGCAGTTGCCAGAATGATGCCCTGATACCAGGAATACACCAAAGGGCTCCACAAGTCAGCTGCACTGGCTGGAGTTTCCTAGTTTTCCAGAGTAAAACTAACAGACCAATAAAATCAAGATCCCAACCTGGGCTCTACCCTGCATCGAAGGACTGTGATTTCTTAGTTGCCAAACTACCTCTTGGAGGGTTAACTGCCTCTGGCCCGAGGTCCCTCCCAGGTTCCTGCCATTATGATCCCTTGGCCCTGGTGGAAGTTTACAGAAGGCCTCTGTGAACTCCTCCCCTTGGGCCACAATCCTGAGCTCTGAGGGATGTTGGGACAGTTTATCCAGGCAGCTTCCTGAAGCGGGCTGAAAAGGTCCTGTGTTATTCATATGCAGAAGTCATAACTACTGATACCTCACTATGTGGCTATATTTGGAAATAGAACTTTGCACGGCACTAAGGTATAATGAGGACGTTCTGTGGACCCTAACACAATCTCAAGAGAGAACCATGTGGACAGAAGGCAAGAGAGTGGTCACCGACCACCCAGGAAGAGAACGCTTACCAGAGACCAGATGCCAACACACTGATCTTGAACTTACAGCCTCTGGAGTAAGAGGGAACAAGTTTCTGCTACATAAGCTCTTTGGTCTGTGGTACTTGGCTACAGTGGCCCTAGCCAGCCATGATTCCTGCCCTCCTTGGAAGATGCAGAGTGCTTACAACCAGCCCCAGATGGACAGAGAAGATGGCAGCTCAATGATAATTCTTGCAGGAGGACACCTGAGCTGTGGTGCCGAACCCCACACCTGGTCCAAGCTCCCTCCTCCCGCATCATCCGCTGTGTTTCCCACCTGCTCTCTGATCTCAGCAATGCCCCTCAGGGACAGGCCAGCCAATTAACAATTTGCTAAGTGAGAACTCCAAATGGGGTTCAGCGGAGCTGAAGGCGTCTCCAGGGATGGAGGGATCGGATCTCAGAACCTGAAAGCAGCAGGTGTTTCCCCGGCACAGGGGTAGAGTTGCCGGATGAAACACAAATGCCTCTAATGTGAATTTGAGATAGGCAGTGGTCACTATATAACAGCACGTCCATGCAATGTGTTTTTATTTGCCCAATCTACAGGCCCTATCACAGGATTCTCAGTGGGTTATCATGGGTAGTGGAGAAACTGAGTCAAGATAAAGCAAATGTGACCAGGCACTGTCCTGATGGCTGCATACGCAGAGGGGAAAACAGACACCACCCCCACCATACACTGAGCCAATTGTGGAGGAAGGAAAGGACTACCCTGGGGGCCACAGGTCTCAGCTACCATCCAAGCCTGCTGCCCTTCTTTGGAGTCTGGTCAAAGAATTTCAGACGCCTCTATTTCCTTTGGCCGCCACGGAGATCCATCACAATTGTGACTCAGGACAGCACAGATTCCCTTTCTCGTACTCTTGAAAGTCAGACTGAGAACACGGAATCAGTAGGAAATTCTAGGGAAGCATTTGTTCTTACCTTTTCGGGTTTCTTGAGGATGCCTGCCTCCCCACCCCACCCCCAGCTCTTGACCTCTTCCTCCATCTCCAAGGCCCACACTGTAGCATCTTCAAAACTCTCCTCTCACTGTTTCCTTTTCTCCGTTTCACTCACTATTTCACCCTCTCTCCATGTTTCTGTCTCGCTCACTCAAGTTTTCTCTCTATCACCCATCCGCTTTTCTGACCTTCACTTACAAGAATCCTTGTTACTACATCAGCTCGCCTGAATAATGGCCCCAGTCACATGATCTTGTGGTTAGGGTACCACAACATCAGTGAGGGCCCATTAGTCTGCCTACCACCATGTTTCTCCCCTGGGACACCTGTTACTTTGCCATGGCTACTGGAAGGGGAAGAAACGGGGTTTGACTAAGGTTCCTGGTTCCTAGCACATACAGGCAAAGCAAGGTTCTAAGATTCAGACATTGAGGTTTGAAGAGGCTAAGAGGGGGCGTTGTATTAAAAGCAGAAGTATGGATTTGCAGCTAAAATACATAGATAACACTCAGCTGGTACAACCCGGAAAGACAGGACTGTGGATTCTGGGGGACCTAAGACTAACTCCAACCTGCTTGCAAGGTCTCACTTAGCTTTGGCAGATAGTGCAAGATACTTTTTTTTTTTTCCAGATAGTGCAAGATACTTTTTTTTTTTTTTCAAGAGAGACACCCCGGAGTGGCTATGAGCTCTACATTGTCTCAGCCACAGTCCGATCAACAGATGCCTGTGGGAGGTAGGGCGATGCTAACTATTCGTGAATCTCTGTAACCATGTCTGAATGCTGTGGCTGCCACAACTAAGGGCCATAGACTGGGCAGTTCAACATGAAGAATCTGTCATGCATTTCTGAGGCTGGAAATCCAACGTGAAGAATCAGCTGTCTGGTTCCTTCCGAGGGCTAGGACGGAGAAACTGCTCCAGGCCTGGAGGCTGTTGGCCGTCTTTAGTGTTCTTTGCCTTGAGGAAGCACCATCCCATGGCTGCTTCCAGATGCCTGGGGTGCTCTTCCATGTGCATGTCTCTGTATTAGGACATGGGTCACCTTAGATTAGGGCCACCCTAATGAGCCGACGGCAACTGTAAAACGCCATCTCATAATAGGGCCAGTCTGAGGTGCTAAAGGCTTAAGGCCTCAGAATGGGTTTTGAAAAGACAAATTGAGCCCATAATCATCTCTTTGGAACTTAATTGTTTCTAAACTGCCCAGCTTTCTGTGAAATAGGCACAAACCACCATACACAGGGGTATTTGTGGTCTCATTCAGTGAATGAATGAGCTGGATCCCATCAAGTGCAGGCAACTCCTTGGCTGCTCAGTCTAGATCAGATGTGTATCACTCCAAAGATGTTCGTGGCTTTTGGAGGTGAGTAAAGACCTCAGTTTATGGCAGAGGCCTTAAGAAATGAGCACCAAATCCAAAGTCACACTACCAATGAGGGTAGAGCAGGAAGGTGCGCACTTGGAACACAAATGCACTAGCCTCCTCATAAGACAGACAAATGGGCAAGACTCGGGTCTATTATGACCAAAAGATGTCCCCTAGTAGGGGGCTGAGTCCTCCCCAAGGCACTGATCAGGTGACTGGGTCTTCCCTGTTTGGATGAAATCCCTGAGGTTCAAGATGTTCCATTAGGGGACAGCTGAACATCCCAAGGAGGCCAGCTCCATCATAGCACATCCCGCAATCATGCCTAGAGAAGGCAAGGCACTTCTCAGGTCACAGATGCAGATACATGGCTTGACATTGAGCATTCTGAACTTCCAGCTGCCACACCACTGGCTTTTGTGTAGTCTGGGTCTGTCTACGTGACTAGCACCCCACACCCAAGCAGCATTTTGGGGATTCTCTGTGAAAGGGGGGTGGGGGACCACATTCTCACACATTAGCATACAGCAGAACATAGGAAGAGATTTAAGACTCTGGGGCTTTGGCCCGAGGTTCTCCTATGTGAGGCTCAGAGAGATGTATCGTTACCCAACACCCCGGGGTGATATTTGTGCAAGTGGACCAACAACTGAACTTTCAGAACCTCTGTTCTGGAACTTACTATTTATTAGCCCGTTTGACTTTCCTTTTCCCGAGACAAGAATGGCAAGGGGACAGAGCTCACCAATGCCCCTACTTGTGGACCACTGGAAAGATGACTGAGTCACAGGCTGGGACTGACCAAGGACTAAAAAGAGGTCAAGGGCAGGAAAGAAAACCAGCCTTTCTGTTCTGAAGGCCTCGTGGAACAGGAGACATACAGTACATGGACTGGGAGGGACATGGGTGTACAATGTCACGAGACCCTCCTAGCGTCTGCCTCAAACCCTCTCTCTGAAGCTGGACTCAGGACTGCCATTGACAACCCATCAAGAACGGCTTGCCTCTCCAACTGGGTGAATCCATGCCATGCGGTTTCTGCTGCCAGTGAGGCGGAAGGTTGCCTGTTTGCACCAGCTGTAATTGTGAATGAGCTTTACCCAAGCAAGAGAAAAGCTTCTGTGGGTCGCTGCCATTGCCTGTTACTGGTTCCCACTCCAGGACTTTATCTCTTCACGCAGGCTGCAGGTTCACCCAGATGAACCCTGCTGCCAGCAAATGGCAAGATGGAGTCCAGAAGCCAGAGGTTCTGCTCATGTGCACAGAGGGCTGATCAAATAAAATGTGTTTGGCTTCCCATTCTGTCCGTTTTGGCTTGTCAAAGTCTCATTTTTAGCTTAAGAAAGCAAAATATGCTTATTAACTGTGAAAATAACTGTAATTATTGAGTATCCGTGGGAAATATAATCTTATTAAGGTGATTCTGAAACTCTGGCCCCTAGGGTGTACAAGTGGAGTTTCAGAAATACAGCAACACTGGAGGACAACTGGGTATTTTATGGCGAGGAAAGTGTTGGCCTCAGGAAGCAAGCCAAGAACAGAAAGCTCCTGACAGAAAAAAGGGAGTCTGACAGGCTTTAGCACAGTGAGGTTAGCACCCTAGAGTTTGGGGTGGTAGAAAGTGGAGGAGCATTTAAGACAGGAGAGAGACGCTCATCAGGAACATGGTTTTCTCAGGGTGAGGCTCATCCATTGTACTCTGAGTGTGCTAACCTCTGAGATTTCCCCAAATTCAGGAAAGTCAACTGCATAATTGGGGCAGTGGGGGTTCCATTGCATCTTCTTTTGGCTATTATGATGTTTGTGGTTCCATGGGAGATCTGTGTGGAAGCATTCACAAGGCCCTGGGCTCTCCAGCACCACCAATGGTGGGTGGGGGAAGGGGGGAAAGGGGGACCCTTTGAGGATAAAATGATGTTACATGAGCAGGGACTTGGGGAGGAGTGATGATGCGACCTGAAGGCCCTGAACTCCGAGTCATTGTCTTAAAACTCCAGGAGAACTCAGAACTGGAGACACATGCTGAGGTTGCTGAAGATGTGATCTCCATAAATATTGCGACCGATGGTGTGGCTTGCTCTGACCCAAAGAATGGAGTGAAAGCAACAGTGAGCAAGTTTGGAGCTGACAAGTGGAGAGAATGAGTATCTCCATCATTCATCCTTAGTAGCTGCTCCTAGGATGAAAACAAGGGGCCGGGTCTGGGTCTTACTGCCGCTTGAAGCTAAGCCCACAGCTCTACACAGGTCTGCTGACCTCAAGTTGATTGACAGATGTGTGAGGGAGAAAGCCAAGCTTAACATGCACCTCTAAACTTTGCTTTGTTACACAGCATCAGTACTTCAGCAGCTGACTGGTACACCATGCTTTCTTTGTTTCCTGTCATCTATTCGTGTTTCCCACGCTTTCTATCAAAACCTTTGTGTTTAAACATCTTGGGCCAAATCTTTAACTCTTGGAGTGAATTTCAACTGTAGACTTTCTCCTCCCAGTTGTGTATATCTTCAAGCCATTTGTCTCTGCAGAAAGACTTTACTATTAGACTTCTAGGCATCTTCAAGCAGATGAGAATAGACATATACATGCATTTTTCTTGGATCTCTTGATGTCACACTCCCAGGGTAAGACAAACTCCAGTACATAGCTGATTCTTTTTTTTTTTTTCCAGAAAGGCTCAAAATCCTGCAAGGGAAGCTCAGCAAATGTCATGTATCTTTTTTAGCCTCTTGTTTGCCCGGAGAAGGTGGAGCATGGTGGCACCCCCAGCCGGTGGATAAGAACTCCTCCTCCCTGTCCCGGCTCCAGCTCTGGCCAGCTTCCCAGTCCAAATGGCAGAATGCATTCAGGGGGGTGATTAATGTCCACAAAAGGCTCCAGAGAACCTCTCGGAGTTTATTAAATCAAGAAAACCATGTTTAAATGTAATGTCAAAGGTATGACACAGACCGACGGATCCAAAGCAGACTGCCAGCCTTAACCTTGATTAACTAGGTGTTCTTCAAGCTTTGACTCGAAGGCTTAAAGCCTCTAACAGTTGGAGGTTTTTGTTTGTTGGTTTGTTGGTTTGTTTGTTTTTGTTTTTCAGGAAGGTCCCGAATCCTGGAGGAGAGGTCAGCACTAGCCAACAGAACCATCTATTTCTGTCTATCAATCACTCTTAAGGGCAAAGGCAGAGGTCATGGCTTTTGTGCCAGGGCCACCACTGTGTACCAGGCAAGGCTCCCACCTGGGCTGGAGAGGTTCAGCGTGTCCACCCTTCACCCCTAGAATTCTCACGTGCCTCTACCCAACCGTTTGTAAGTAGCAAGATGCCCTCACACATAAAGTACTTGACAATACCTTATCTTCTGGCTCAGAAAACACATGGCTATGCTAGCAGGCAGTCTGTTGACAGGTTGTAAAGAAAATAGAACAGGGTGACGTGGTTCCTTTTGGTAAAAGAGTGCACCGAATTAGGTGAGGGTGACTAGGAGCAGCAAGGAGACGTTTCATGCGGCTAACTGCCTGACAGATACAATACATGACGCCATAGAAACTCTTAAGTCCCCTTTTACAGCTGACTGCACTGAAATACAGAGAGACCAGGTAACTCCATCTACATCACACAGCTAATAACACGCGAGGAGCCGAAGACAAGTCCAGGTACTGTAGCCACCAGCCACACTCTTATCTACTAGGCTACGCACCACCTTGTGGAGCCAGGGAGACTGGAAGGGTAGCAAGCTGCAGGTGGAGGGGCAGCCATGGAAAGGTCCAGGGGGAGTGTTCTAGACCCAAGGACAAGATCATTTCAATCCTGTAGGTGAGAGATGAGGGGTCACGAGCCAGAAAGGAAGGGACAGGTTCAGGAATGGTTTTCATTGTGTCTTCTCCTGCTTAACTAATAACCCTACAGGACTCGTGTTCCTTAGCGCTGAAGTATAGTGTTCAATTCATGAATTTGTTTGTCTTTTTTTAATGTCTGAATTCTTTTGTCTTTGACAATTTCATCCATGTATATGATGCATTGGGGTCCTAGTCACCCCTCCTTAGCGCTTTCTTACCCCCTCCCCCACTGCTGACTCCCTTCTGACCAACTATCCTTCCTCTACCTTCATTATCTCTCTGCGTGCGTGTGTGTGTGTGTGTGTGTGTGTGTGTGTGTGTGTGTGTGTGTGTGTGTGTATCTCATGCAGGCAGCCACAGCTGCTAAATGCTCATGACTGCCACAATCATGTCACATCCAGAACTCAGCATTTCACAGCTCTCCTCCCCATCTCCCGGCTCTTACAGGCTTTTTTCACCCTTTCATCGACCTCGGACGGGGTGAAATAAATGCCCTGCTCAGGGATGGGATGGCACAATAATCTCAGAACTTGGACCAGTTATGAGTCTCTGCATTAACCCCAGCCCACTGCAAGAAGAAGAAGCGGCTATTCTGACCAAGGCTGAAAGCAGCATTGGTCTCTGGATATGAACATAAATATTCAGAAGACCATCTGATATCATGTCTATTTATCAAAGCATCCGTAGCAGAATTCCCCTGCCCATTGACAGGGGAAGCTGTGAGCTCCCCGGCCACAGGTTCTTGACCAGGTTTACAGCAGCAGGCCTCCAATCCAGCCAGAAAGTGGTTGATGAACCCCAAACACTCATGTCACTACTGCCCCAGAGTGCATGCCTCGCTTGGCAGGTCCATCATACAGCGTTCAGGTCTGCGGCTGGAGATGACTGTTGATGACTTTTCTCCTGCAGCAGCCTCTATAATACCGTCTGGCCTTATGAGAGCTGGGCAGCAGGGAGGCAGCTACCAGCTCAGGGCCAGCTTGACTTCTCTTTGTTCTGTATCCAAAGTGTGCGGTGTCTTTAGTAATCAGTCTTATCTTCTAAGTGTGGTATACATCCAAGAACAGTAGCAATAGCCTGCATTGTTTGGGGAGCCTCTGGGGACTCTCTGGCCAACAACTCATAGTGAAGTATCCCATGCCTGGTACTGGAATGTTCCTTTGAAAAACTCACGGCTTCTGGGATCAGTATTCAATTCTCTTTGGGATGATGAGTTAGATGACTAATTATTGAGCATCACTCCAGTCTGATCTTGGCTTCAATCCTAAATCTTTCACTGATTAATTGGTCAACGCTGGGAAGTCACTCAGCTTCTCTGGTCCTTTCTGTACAGCAGGGATGCAAGGCCATCCCACAAGGTCATCTGTGGAGAGGCATAAGTGGGACAACTTGTGTTGAGTCAAGGGCAAGGCCGCCCCAGAGCAGATCCTGTGGACAGAGCCTGAGTCACAGCAGTGACAAATCCCTACTATAGAATCGAAAGGTGAGGACAGTGTGCCTTGCTGCTCACAATGCTGTCCAGTGACCAGCTCTCCTGGATCTTGCAGGAGGTGGGGACCAGAATTGAGCCCAGATTTACCCACAGACACACTGAAGCAGAATTAGTAAGGGAAAGTCCTTGATCTGTATGTTGAATGAACACCTCACCTACCTCCATGTCATTCTTATCATCAAAAGGAGGTTGAACGTTGGGCATGGTGGCATACATCTGTAACTCCAGCATTCAGGACGCTAAAGCAGCAGAACTGTGAGGTAAAGGCTAGCCTGGACTCTTGCAATGAGGTCATCTCAAAGAAAACAAAGGGAAAAGCTGGGCCAGGTTGAGCCTGTGCTAGCTCAGGGCCCCTTGTCCTTTGTAGTGTCCTAAGCACTTGAACCCCAGCCCTCCATGCTTCATATATCACTGCCCATCCAGCTGCCATGCCTCAGACACCTGACACTTGCAGCTGGACTCCTGATAACTTGACAGCCTCTCATCAGATGTCCCCACAGACCAATCAGCTGAGTCCAGGAGATTCCATGTGGGGCGTTTACCCACCACCCCCACAGTTCCCCAGAGTTTTCTTGAGTGCAATCAGCAGGAAATATTAGATAGAAGGATTTATAGTGGAGAATCTTGCAGAGATAAACAGATAGAAAATAAAGGATAGCCTCGAGAGGGCCTGGAACCTATTCCAACGGGCCCCGACTATCACTGGCCCAGGGTTTTTATAGAGACGCCAAGGGGTGGAGCAAAAGACCTCCTCCCCCAGCACAGCCAAGTGCAGACCATCTCAGACACCTGCACTCAGGCCCGTGGTCCTGATCATCCTCTATTCGGACCTGCTGGGTAAAGCCACGAGGAACCTGAGAACGGGCTCCCACAATTCCAATAGCATCAGGCACAAGGACAGCAAGTGTCCTGCCCCCACTGACCAGCGCCTCTGATTCCTGGGGGCGTGCCTTCTCCTTTTGGCCATCCTCCTGGCCCACTTGCTATGTTTGAGAAACCTACAAAGCAAGGGACTTGACTGTGGCCAGAAGCTCCTTACTGTGCCGCTGTCCCAGCTTCATTTCTGTTGCCATGACAAAACACCTTGACCAACACCTTTAATCCCAGCACTCAGGAGGCAAAGGCAAGGCAGATCTCTGTGAGTTCAAGGCCAGCCTAGTGTACATAAGGAGCTTCAGAATAACCAGACAGCCAGGGCTATGTAGGGACCCTGTCTCTAAAAACAAACAACCCCCCCCCCCAAAAAAAAACCCATCTTGACCAAAAGTAACATGGGGAGAAAAAGTTTACTGATTTACACTTCCATCATTGTTTATTGGCTTACACCTCCATCATAATTTATTGGTTTACACCTCCATCATTGTTTATTGGTTTACACTTCCATCATCGATTATTGGCTTACACTTCCATCATCGCAGAGAAGTCACAGCGCAGGCACTCAAAGCAGCTAGCTACATCACAGCCATAG